GGCCCCCGCAGCAGGGATGCTCCCCCAGGGCCAAACCTCACCCCGACCTGCCCGACGCTTGGGCTGCTGTGGGGAAAGTGCCTCGTCAGCAGGAATGGCAGGGCAGGGCCAGCGCCGCTCCTCCTGCCCGTCCCTGCGGGCTGGGAGCTGCTCCTCCCGACCAGCATCGCCCCCGGGAGCTCCCGGCTCATCCCGGAAGGAAAGGCTTCCTTCCCCGGCACCGCTCGCCCCATCAGTGCCTCACTGGCCCTAAGGACAGGAGCTTTGCTCCAGCCTGGGTGGGGGAGCAGGAGATCCTGCAGGGCCCTGTGGATTTTGGGTGGTTAATCATAAAATAGTTGGGGTTGGAAGGGACCTTTAGAGGCCATCTAGTCCAACACCCCCCCCACAAGGAGCAGGGACAACTAGACCAGGTTGCTCAGAGCCCCGTCCAACCTGACCATCAATGTTTCCAGGGATGGGGCATCTCCCACCTCCCTGGGCAACCTGGCCCAGTGTCTCACCACCGAGTCTCCTGAATTATTGCAGCCAAAAGCTTTGGGAAGGGGACTGAACCTCTGAGCCTGCGTCGGAGATCAAAATGAGATCCCCTGTGCTGCCCCGTGGGGATCGTGCATCTTTCCCCTGGCACCAGGCTGGGTGGCCAGCAGGATATGGGTTCGTCTGTGCCACCCTGGGAGACCCTGATGCCACATCCCCAGCAGCGGTGGTGGGGCAGGAGCTGCAGCAGGGGGAGACCAGAGCTCCCCCCAGTAACGCTGAGCACCACCTGGGGTGCAGAGAAGCTGCCGACCCCTCATCCTGGTCCAGCCCCTGGGGGGCTACGGGCAACCAGAGGAGATCAAAACAATTCCAGGAGGGACTTTTCAGGCAGCTTCGTGCTGCCCGCAGCTTCCTTCTGAGGGAGAGGGTGGATGTGTCCCCCCCGTTCCTGCCGCAGCCAGACAGTGTGGCTGGCTTGGGCAAGAAATGGCACTCGCCCTCTGGCAAACACAGCCCCACAGCATGGTGGGGGCTGCACCGGGTGGTAGCCTGGCTCGGGGCTGTGGCAGGAAACTCCTCTATTTCATTTCTCCTGGCGGCGCGGGGCAGGGGGGGAGCGTGGGGCCACAGGCAGCCCCTTCCGCTCCCCGCAGCCCGCTGCTGAGGGCAGAAGCGAAAGGGCTTGCCGGGGTCAGGGACCCTTTTCACACCCGCTTCTCCTTCCTCCAGCACCCTGGGTGTCGAGCTTCCTTGAGGGTGCCGAGCTCCTGGATAAGGCACTGAGCTCCCTGACAGCCCCCACCGGGCCCCCTCCCACCAGACCCCTCCATTCCAGAGGCTGTCATTGGGCTGGGCTGCTCCGGCACTTGCCGGAGGGAGCAGCAGTGAGTGCAGAGAAGGGTCTCCCTTCCCCAGCTCCACTCGCACTCGGAAACTATCCCAAATAGCTATTCCGGCCTAATTATTCCATTCTGGAAGTGGATTAAGCTAAAGCGGAAAAAGGCACTCTTATTCTGGAATATGAGCATCCGCACAGGGGCCTCGGCTGCAACAGTTGTTCTGGAAGAGCTATTTTGGTGAATCACCACGTATAAAGAGCCCCCGGGTGACCTCTCCTCTTCGGGCATCGCTGCCCAGCCCCTTCCCAAACGCCAGCAGCACAGGGAGCCCCCAGCCCCTCGTTTTTGTCCCTCCCAGAGCCATAACTGGGGGGAAGAGAAGACTGGGAACTGCTTGTTTAGAGGTGGCAAAGTGATTGCAAGGGGGTCCCTGGTCCGTGTCCCCTCCCCTGAGAGGCAGCCCCTACCTGGCAGGCAGGTGCAGTCGTAGGTGGTGTCTCCGATCTGGCGGCAGGTCCCCCCGTTCTGGCAGGGCGAGGGGTTGCAGGGCACGTAGAGGTGCTCGCAGTTCTGCCCGGTGTAGGCCGGTTTGCAGGAGCACTGGTAGGTGCCCACCTCATTGGTGCAGCTCCCGCCGTTCTTGCAGACGGAGGGCGAGATGTTGCACTCGTTGACGTCCTGCTTGCAGTTGGCCCCGTGGAAGCCGGCGGTGCAGCGGCAGATGTAGTGGGCTTCGAAGGGGACGCACTGGCCCCCGTTGGCGCAGGGGTTGGAGGCGCAGGGGTCGGCCTGCTGGCAGGTTTTGCCTGGGGGAGGGAGGGCAGGGAGGGAGGATGAGGATGCGAACCACAGCTCTTGGTGAGAGCCATCTTTAGAATCATAGAATGGTTAGAGTTGGAAGGGACCTTAAAGATCATCAAGTTCCAACCCCCCTGCCCTGGGCAGGGACACCTCCCACCAGACCAGGTTGTCAAAGCCCCATCCAGCCTGGCCTTGAACCCCTCCAGGGATGGGGCATGCAAGACTTCCCTGGGCAACCTGTTCCAGTGTCTCACCACCCTCACAGAAAAGAATTTCTTCCTAATACCTAACCTGAATCTCCCCTCTTTCAATTTAAAACCATTACCCCTTGTCCTGCCACTCCACTTCCTGACACAGAGTCCCTCCCCAGCTCTCCTGTAGCCCCTTCAGATATTGGAAGGCTGCTATAAGGTCTCCCTGGAGCCTTCTCTTCTCCAGGCTGAACAACCCCATCTCTCTCAGCCTGTCCTCACAGCAGAGATGCTCTAGCCCTCTTTGTGCCGAAGCACAGACCCGGCTCTGGGACTGTATTCACAGGGGGTGCAACTAATTCACCCTCTCCTGTACCAGACACTTGCAGCTCACCCAGCCCAGGACCCTCCCAAGCCCCTTCTCAGGTGTCCAGACCCCCCTCTTTTTCCCCAGAAAAGGAAGAAGCCGAAATCCAAAGTGCCACATCTCCATCCAACGGGGGGGTTTTCCTGGGAGCAACCCCCTCTCACCGGCTATCCCGGTGTCCCCCACGTCCCCACCTCACCTGACCAGCCCGGGGGGCAGCGGCACTTGTACTCGCTGAGGGTGAGGAGGTCGCAGGTCCCCCCGTTGCGGCAGGGGTTGCTGAGGCAGACGTTGTCGCGGGGCGTCAGGCAGAGCTCGTCGGTGAAGCCCAGGCGGCAGGCGCAGGTGTAGTCCACGGTGCTGCCGCGCACCACCGGGGTGCAGGTGCCGGCGTTCTTGCAGGGGGAGCTGAGGCAGGGGTTGGGCAGCTGGCACCGCTCGCCCACGTAGGCCCCACTACACCTGGAGGGACGAGACACCCTGTCAGCGGGATGGGACCCCCCAGGGGCCACCGGGGCACCCCAAGGACCAGCTCTGGGAACGCCTCCCCCCGCCCTGACCCCGCACCGCATCCCGGCACGGCAGGTTTGGCAACGGCACCAGCTCTGCCCCGGCCGCTCTGGGCTGAGAAGAGGAAGATGAAAGAGGCTCCGGGAACAAAGGCGTCCCCCGTTCAGGGGCCTGCACCGACTTGCAAAACCGCAGCCTCCAGCGCTGACGTCCTGCTTCTCATCGCAATGAGGTTTCCCCCCCCCAGTCCTCACTAAAAAGGACACCAAGGCACAAAGGGGGACGTGGTGGAGCCAGTAGGACCACCCCTGTACCTGCACCCAACCCAGGGCACCTACAGACCCCCAGGGAGAGGAAACCCCAAAGTGGCCCATGGGGCCAAGTAGCATGGGGACAGCCCTGTGTCCCTGCCCGCAGCGGGGTCCCTGCTCCACCAGGGTCATTTTCATCCTCCATCCATCCTAAGAACTCATTCAACTAGGACCAAGCGTTGGTTGGTAACAGGTGGGACACGCTCCTGCTCCTTGCAGCCCACCGAGATCTTCCCTGAAGACAAACCCTATGCAAGGAGGGATGAGTGGCCCTGGCTGCTGCATCCCCTCTGCGTGGGGGTCCAGAGAAAAGGACCCCCCGACGCAGCTACTGGCTCTACCATCTGTCACGGTTGGCTGATGGGGCTGGACCAACTGCCTGCTGCAGGACCGGGGCAGCCCATGGGGATGCGCCACGAGGACAAACCCTGGTGAGGCTGAGCAGGACATGGAGCTGGCAAAGTGGGGGGAGCTGCCCCCCAGGAAAGGGAGGATGGAGCAAAGCCGTGCAGAGAGCGATTGAGGGAACCTGACATCAAAAGATCCTGGGGATAAGGCTCTTCAGCACAAACCCTCCCAGCACGACATCTCTTGTATCCCATCTGCAACGTGAGATGCCAAGCATTTTGTCCCCAACCAGCTCCGCTCACATTACACCCCTTCCAAAGGGGGATTTTCTGCCCTGGCTGGGCTGTGCCAAGAGAGACAGAGGAGCAAGACGCCGCTGGCACACTGCTGTCCCACACCACCATGGCAGTGCCACCACAGCAGAGCAGGACACACCACGCTCAGCTCACGCTGGGCTGCTATCAGAGTCCTCGAGAGCAGAAATAAATCTGGGGGTGGTTTCATGCACCGCCGTGAGCTCAGGGTAACACAACCACTGCTGGAGGTGATGGATGGGAAGATGAGAGCACCTGGGCACTGGGGAACAGTGCTCCCCGCTGTGCTTGGGCAGGTTGGGGTTCGGGGCACCCCTCATGTGCTCACACCATTGCCACCTGAGCTGGTGGGACCAAGCCTCATGATGGCCTCCAAGGCTCCTGCAGCACACCGTCCCCGTGGGGTGAGCAGGGAGGGTGCTGGGGAACGCTGCACCCCACAACTGCAGAGCAGAGCACCCACCCCCAACCCCCACCAGCCCATGAACCCCAAAACAAGAACGTGGGGCTCCTCCAGTGAAGCAAAACCAGCAATCCCCACCCTCAGCCGGCCCCAACCCGGAGCCGCCGCGCCGTGCCGGCGGCAGGACCACGTTTCGGCCCCGCTCCTCTTCTTCCCCTTCTTTTTTTTTTTTTTTTAACCCAATTCTGATTTCATTGTTGGGGATTGTGTGAGAATTTGTCAGGATTCGGAGACATTTTGAGTTAATGAGACGGCATTATCCAGGCCAAATGAAAAAGAAAATGTGTATAATAATAAATCAGGGCATCTGCTCGGCACACAAAGGGCGGCGGGGAGCAGGTGTGCATCCTAATGAGGCAGAGCAGCTGCCGGCGCCCGCGGTCCATGCCCGGCTCGCCGGCGGCTCCGAGCCCGGGGCGTCGCGGCCGTGGGGCGACGGCGCTTCTGGGTGGCTGCGCCGCGGCCCCGCGTGGGGGAATGCGAGGGCTGAGAAGGGGCCATTGTGCGGGGGCCGGGGCGGCCGGCGAAGGCACGCCGCTGGCAAACCGCTCAAGTGTGCAGTCATCTGGTAAAAGCACCGCTCTTCCTCCCCCCCTCTTCCCCTTCCCCACCACCACCATCATCACCACCACCATCACCACCCCGCCGGCCTCCCCGCACTGCACACGCTTTTTTTCTTAAAACAATCCTCCAGGCTCTGGCGGCGGCTGGCGGACAGGGAAGCGTCACGAGATGCTCTCCAATGGGAGAAAAAGGTGGAAAAAAGAAACAACTCAAAAAAAAACAAAAAAAAAAAGGAATAAGGCAAAAAAAAAAAGTTTGATGCTGGACAAAGAGCCCCGGGGGCTGCGCGGGAAATGAACGGCCACGGTGAGGGCTTTGGCCGTGGGCAGGCAGCACCGGGAGGGGATGCTCTGCATCCCTGGGGGACGGTGGAGATGGGGGCTCCTGCACCATCCCAGGGCTTCAGTGGGGCCAGGGCGAGGGGCGCGGAGACGAGAGCCCTCCCACCCAATTAGTTTTCGGACCGTTTCCAATTTCAGCGCAGGCAAGTGGTGGTTTGAGCTCAGGGATGGGAAGCCAGAGCAGAGCCCAGCCCGAGGCTGGGCACGGTTATTAGCCAAGAGGTTAATTAGTGATTGGAGGAACTCCCCTGGGGAACAGGGGAGCCCCTGCCTGAAGGCACAGGGGGGTTTGGAGCCGCTGGCAGTGCCCAGGCTGGGCTACCCAGGTGCTTTCCAGGCTTTTGCTTCAGGAAACCCCTCAAGTTTCATGGAGTTGGCAGATTTTTTTTTAAAATGTGGGGGTTTTTTTCCTATGTGTTTGTTTTAAGAGCTGGTTTATGGCTGTGATCAGCTCAAGGAGTGAGGAGGCTGCAGCAAGTGCTGGGGAAGGGCTGGGAAGGGGGTCTGCCCCAGCCAGAGGGGCTGAGCTGAGCGATGGGCACTGGAGGGCAAGGGGGACCCGAGTACACTCACACCTCGCATTTCTCCTCCCTGCAAGAAGGGTATTTCCAGCCACTGAGAAGTGAAGGTGAAGTAACTCTTGAGGAAAAAAAAAACAACAATACAACACAGGCACCCTTAAAATCTGGCAGTCACTCCTGTGACCCACGGAGCAGTTTGCATCACACAGGGTTGGCATCTGGGCAGCACAGACCCACGAGGGATGCCTGGTGACTCCCGGGTCACAAATTGGGTGGCAGGGACAGAGACAGCCCTCGCACACCCATTGCACACACACACCACTCCATCTCCCAGCTCAGGGAGCCCTCTCAACCTCCTTCCACGGTTTCCAGGACATCTCAGTTTGTTTTCAAGGTTTGAAAACACAAGGCCTCTGAGGGCAGGGATGTCTCTGTCACGATAGTGATATCGTGGCTCAGCAAGAGCAGGAAATGAGGACTCCAGAGGCTCCTTTGCTCCCACACGGATGTGCCCACGAGCAGGCTCACACCCGGTGGCTTCCACACCCCTCCTGCATCATCTGCAGACACTTCTGCACAGAAGCGATGCTGTTCCTGCCCACGTTTGCAAGGCAGGGAAGAGCACGGCCGCGGACCGGAGCCATGGGATGAATTTCCTCCCCGCACGGGTCCCGGAGCTCACTCACAGCTGAAGACTCTCAAGCTGCACTTAAAAGCCCGACAACCGCAACGGCTTTAGAGTCCTGGCTGCAGAGGAAAGCCTGGAGACAAGCCTCGCATGCAAAGCAAGAGATCAAAAACCAGGTGAAGAATAAGGCCAGCCCAAGACTTAGTTTTCAGCTCTCCTAGGTCTGGAAAGTCTGGATTCAGCAGAGCCAGGTTCAGCTCCCAGCCATGCTGCCACCTCATCATACGTCCACCTACTTCTCTGGAGGCTTAAAACCACTCCTGAAGCTCAGCCCAAGGAGCAAAGCTTTATTTTCTGTAAAAAAAATAAATACCAGCGGGTGGTGGCATCAGGGCTCCCAGGTGAGCAGACATGGAGGATGCAACGTCCCCACGGGCACAGCCAGGTGAAGAGCACCCTGTGGTTTTTTCCTTTGGCATTTCCCAAGCGAGGGCTACCCAAACCAAACCCCAAGCAGCTTATGGAAATCAGCGTAAGAGACATTAAAGCTGTGCTTTAATTATAGATATATGTGCCGGCAGAGGACAGGGCGGGTGCTCCAAGATCAAAACAGCTCAGAAGGGCCATTAGAAACCAGCTCCGAGGCAGTGAAAGGCGGCCAAGCTCCCTGGGGTCCTGAGGAACCTCTGTGAGATCCCCGGAGAGGCCAGCATGGCCGCGCTCCCGGTCCCACGCGTGACGCACGGCCCGTTCCCAACCCAGGGAGGAACGGCTAAAAATACCGGTGTCTCTCCCTCCCCTGAGCACGCAGCTGAGAAACGTTTCCGTTGACTCACCAACCTGCTGCAGAGGCACCACATGCTCCAGCCACGACCCACCCCACTGTTTTAGATGGTGACGGAAGGTGACGGCACCCCTACCCCGTGGTGACGGCATCCCTACCCCGTGGTGATGGCCGAGCCCTGCTCTAATGCACGATGCTCCCTCTCCCAGCACTGGGCTGACACATGGAACAAGTCAGGGCAGACAGTCTTTTCACTTCTAGGATATTCTCTCCGTGACCTAACCAAGGGATTGGGGCTGTCACCCAAGGTGGGACAGGGATGCAGCAGCGTGTCCCCATCCCTGCGGATGGTGATGCTGCGTGTGCCCCTTGCAGGTGCAAACACGCTGATTTACACCCCCTGAGTGTCTGGGGGTGCCCTCCATCCTGGTGGCTTTTTGTTTTTGGGGGGTCAGGCAGAGGCTGGGGGCTGGATTCCCACGACACCAGGCTGCGACGCATCTTCCCCCTCCACGTCAGGGAGCACAAACTGCTGCGAGGGGGGGGAAGCACAATTAATAATGCGCCGCGCTCCCGACCCATAAATCTCCAGCACGATTCATGGGCAATGTGAAGGGTGATGGAGAAGGCCTCGTCCAAGGTCAGACAGCGAGTCCCGGGGGACGGCCTGGGAACGGC